TTCAATGCAATCCCCATCAAAATACCATCCACTTTTTTCAAAGAAATGGAACAAATAATCCTAAAATTTGTATGGAACCAGAAAAGACCCTGAATAGCCAAGTGGGCAATAAATTTAAATACATGCTTTACGGAAGAAGATTTATAAATGGTGAAAAAAGTGCATGAAAAGACATTCCACATCATTATCAAGGAAATGCAAATTCAAACTGTAATGGGATATCATTACATAGCCACTAGAATGACTAAAAGGAAAAGATTAGTTCTACCAAATATGGGCGAGAACATGGAACAATTGGAACTCTCATATAGTACACAATAGTATAACCACTTTGGAAAACAGTTTCTCAGTTTCTTGAAAGTTAAACATACACTTAACATATGACTTGATATTTTGCAAGGAAATGTGAAATTGAGGTTATTCCTCTAGTGCTGAATATTTTCTTTGCTACTCTCAAATGTGTGCTCCTTTGCTGTTTTCATGCATTCTGTGTGCATAGTAGCCTTTTTTGGTACAATCCTGAATCATAGTATAATATTTCTGGAGACATTTAAAATATCAGTTAAAATGAACAAAGCAATATCAACAATGCAAGTAATCTAATTTTAAATGGTAGCAATATGAGCATCTCTGACCAAGTTTGCCTAGCCAATAGTGATTACAAGACTTCATAGATTGTAAGGCACATTCCATATATGCTAAAATATAAATAATTATTTTTAGAATTGATGAAATGTGGTAATAATAATTACTATACCAATAATATCAGCTAGTAAATTATTAGTTATATAATATCAGTTAATAAATTAGTAGTCAGGAGCCCGAGTACTTTATTAACTAGTTTTAAGGCTAGATTTATTTTACCCATTTCCCATGGCAAACATTCTATGTCCACTCATCAGTTACCCCCTTTTGGTCTTTCCCATCCTTTCAGTTGCTGTGGGTTTCTTACCAGATATTAAATATGTCATTGGTTTTTACCACTAATTCTAATTCCATTTCAGGCCAGATCTCTCTAGTTGAATGATTTAGAAATTTAAAAACTGACTTTATAAAGAGGCAAAACAGATTTAAATGATCAAATGCCATATATATATTAGATAAGCTGATATGTTAACATATTTTTGGAAAACGTTTTAAATGTTCATATGATTCTGTTGGTTGTTTATAGCATTTGTCTTTTTATATTTTGAGATAACTTTCAAAGAATGCAGTTTTATTAAGATGAATTTTTACTTATTGTGTAGGAGATTGGGAACACTGGAATAAGAAACTTCAGCCATATTATTATCCAACTGACAGTATTCCAGAATATTCATCCATTTTGGTTCCAAATGTTGACAATATTAGAACAAATTTTTTGATAGACACCATTGCAAAACAACAGAAAGTAAGTCTGATAGTTTCTTAGCTGATCACAAACCTATACAAAACACATGCCTTTTCACACACTACAGATAGAAAAATTAAATTCCAGCACAAGAGGTTGGAGGTAGTGCCATTTAAGGAAAACACATTTGGCAAATGAACCCTGGGATACACTCCAACTCAATATCCCCTGAACTGCTGACTTCCAGCTTGCTAAGGGAAGTGGGTGTCTGCTCACAGAGTCCCTCCCTACTTCCATGGTCACATGAGTATTTACCCATACTTTCTGCCAGCACAGTTTATAGTACACATTTTATATTCAAATCTTTAATTGAACTAGGATTGATTGATTATTTATTTATTTTTAGGATTTTATTTTGATGTGGGTCTAATTCTAAAAAGTAATTAAAATTAGTTGTATTAATCATTACAATGAAAAAATACCTACCAGAAGCATGAGATATTTAAAGCTAACCCCTTTCCACATGATTACCTGATTATTGCAGGCCGTTTTGCTCACAGGAGAGCAGGGAACAGCCAAAACTGTAATGGTTAAGGCCTATTTGAAAAAATATGATCCTGAAGTACAGTTATCCAAAAGTCTAAACTTTTCATCTGCCACAGAACCCATAATGTTTCAGGTAAAACCCATCATTTGCTGAGGTAATCGACATCTTAAAATGTTTTGAGTGCTGGTTACAGTAAAATGTGTATGCATATAAAATCTGATTGTGTGTGTGTGTGTGTGTGTGTGTGTGTGTGTGTGTTAATATGAAGTGGGGTTGCACTTGGCTTTCAGCTATTAGCTTTCCTAGGCCAGCTCCAAACATCAGATTTTGACCTAATATTGAGGCTGAAGCTGAACTTTGTGTATAAAATTAATGATTAACATTCTAATAACTTATTTTTTGCAATATTACAATGTATATTTTAATAATGATATTTATGCATATTAAATAACTCAGTTCTCCTCTGAAAGACATGCTCATCATTTCTAGGAATATGGGTTGAAATCTAACACTTAAGACAAACATCTCCTCTTCTCTAGAGAACAATGGAAAGCTACGTGGATAAGCGAATGGGAAGCACATATGGGCCACCAGGAGGCAGAAAAATGACGGTATTTATTGATGATATTAATATGCCTCTGATTAATGAATGGGGAGATCAGGTATGACTGAAATATCTCCTATAAATGATATTTAATCAGTATTTTTAGTTATATATAAATGTGTCAATAGCCTTTGTCTTATGAAGCCTAGTAGCAATTCGGTCTTTTTTGGCTTCTCTGTTAATAGCTGGCATTCTCCCTTCTTGAAATCCCTGTGTGTTTTTCAGCAATACTCCTTCCTGCCTTCAGGCTTCTTGATTTCAGCACCCGTTCTGGCTCCTCTCTTCCTCTCCTCAGGGTTTTACTTCTGTTACTTCTTACTCTATATACTCCCTCCGAGGAATACTTGATTTAGAAAACACTTTTTTTTTTCTTTTTAACTCTATCACACACATGTCTTCCTTGTCATCATCTGTCAACCCCACAGTCATTCTCCATCAGAGAACCTCACTGATGCTCTTGGAATTCTGCACATTCCTCGTGGGATTCCCAACATCTCCCTCCCACCACTGCCCACTGCCTCATCAGTCATGTCTACCTAGAGCCTGCCGGGACCCATCCCATCTGGCCTTTTATCTGAGTTCACCTCAGATACCTGTAGGAAGTCAGGACTCCCAGGTCCATGCTCACCCTAAGACTATTCCTCAAACAACTCTGCATGGCCCTTGAAATAGCAAGAAGAGAAAGAGTCAATGATAGAACCCTATAGATACATGTGAGGGATGGGTGGAGAAAGAGTGGCTTAGGAAGTGATCCAGAGTCTCAAGATGAACCTGGAAAGAACTGAGCCTCTGAATTCAAAAGAGGAAAAGTTTTCAATGAGGAGGGAGTGTTAGCAGTGTTAGAGGCTGCAGAAAAGAAAGATAAGAACATAAAGCCCAAACCCAAAACATTCAGTAGTATTGAAGGCTCCCATCCCACATTCTGATTTAAAGTAGTTTGAAGTGTTGAATGTTGATACTTGTAACTCTGACTACTGTTGTAATTGTGCCAACTATTCCATAACTCACCTATTTAAGTTTCTTTGGAGATCCATTTTATCAGCGTGGTAGAGTACGCTGGACTCAATCCAGATGTTTAGCTTATGGTTTTGTTCATGAGTGGTAGCATTTAAATCAAATTGCCTTGCAGGTGACCATCAACTTTCACAAACACTTCATTGACAAGAGTTGAATATTTTTTTCTAATCTCAAGTGTACTATTTTATAGGAGTTGTGGAGGAATATGATAGTGATATGTTACTAAAGTATCACTGTATAAAATTTCAGATAACTAACGAGATTGTGCGACAAATGATGGAAATGGAAGGAATGTATAGCTTGGATAAGCCTGGAGACTTCACTACTATTGTTGATGTGCAGATCATAGCAGCAATGATCCACCCTGGAGGTGGTCGAAATGATATTCCCCAACGTTTAAAAAGACAGTTTACTGTGTTTAATTGCACATTGCCTTCAAATGCTTCAATAGACAAAATTTTTGGTATGACTATTTTTGATGTTTCTTTTTTTTATTGTATTACATAATGGACATAAGCCATGCAAAACCTTATTTAAGAGATAAAAAGCCTCTGTCTGTAGTAGGGATTAAGTATCTGAAGTGGAGAGATAAATACCAGAAAAGAGGGACTAACTATTAAGAAGACTCAGGTTTATAGCCCATTCTAAAAATATTTAGAAATAGACTTGTTGAAGTTTGGCTTTAAGGTTTTAGTTTTCTTGGTATGATTAATCAGAGAAATTTGGGCTAACGAATGACAGCAGATCTGTCACAGATTAACAATATAATATATCAAGTCAAAAGTAGCATTTTTTATATGTTAATGAAATGAGATTTTTTTGACAACAAATTTAGGTTTGTATAACTTTTTTCATCAAAAATTATGTATATGAAGACATGCAACAGAAATTGACCCATGCACATATGCACATTAATTGATATAACAAATACTATAGATTAGAAGGGAAAGAGCAGACTTTCAGTAAATGGTAATGGGATATTTAGTAATTTTAATGTGAAAATAATTAAAATTGAACCCCTACCTCACACCAAGCATAAAATCAATACAGATGGATTAAAGACCTAAAAAACATTTGGAAGAAAATATAGGAAAATACCTGAATGACATCTGGGTAGGAAAGAATTATTGATTCATCACTTACATATAATACCCAGTGCTCATTGTAACAAGTGTCCTCCTTAATACCCATCACCTACTTAGCCCATCTGCACCCACCTCCCTCCATCAACTTTCAGTTTGTTCTCTGTTGTTAAGAGTCTCTCATGGTTTTCTTCCCTCAATATCTCTCTCTCTTTTTTTCCCTTCCCGTATGTTCATCTGTTTTGCTTCTTAAATTCCACATGAGTGAAATTATGTGGTATTTGTCTTTCTCTGACTGACTTATTTTGCTTAGCATAATACAGTGTAGCTACATCCACGTCATTGAAAACGGCAAGATGAAAACGGCAATCTTTTTGATGGCTGAGTGATATTCCATTGTATATCTGTATACCGTATCTTCTTTATCCATTCATCAGTCAATGGACATTTGGGCTCTTTCTGTAGTTTGGCTATTGTTGATAATGCTGCTATAAATACTGGGGTTCATGTGCCCCTTCGAATCACTATTTTTGTATCCTTTAGATAAATACCTAGTAGTGCAATTGCTGGGTCATAGGGTAGTTCTATTTTTAACTTTTGAGGAACCTTCATACTGTTTTCCAGAGTGGCTGCACCAGTTTGCATTCCTGCCAACAGCATAAGAAGGTTCCCCTTTCTCCACATCCTCGCCAACATCTGTTGTTTCCTGTGTTGTTGATTTTAGCCATTCTGACAGGTGCAAGGTAGCATCTTATCATAGTTTTGATTTGTATTTCCTTGATGATGAGTGATGTTGAGCATCTTTTCATGTGTCTGTTGGCCATCTGTATGTCTTCTTTGGAAACATGTCTATTCATGTCTTCTGCCCATTTCTTAACTGGATTATTTGTCTTCTGGTTGTTGAGTTTTATAAGTTCTTTATATATTTGGATACTAACCCTTTATCAGATATGTCATTTGCAAATATCTTCTCCCATTCTCTAGGTTGTCAATAGTTTTGTTGATTGTTTCCTTCACTGTGCAGAAGTTTTTATCCTGATGAAGTCTCAACAGTTCATTTTTGCTTTTGTTTCCCTTGCCTCTGGCGACGTGTCTAGTAGGAAATTGCCTCAGCCGAGGTCAAAGAGGTTGCTGCCTGTGTTCTCCTTTAGGATGTTGATGGATTCCTGTCTCACATTTAGGTCTGATTTCATCCATTTTGAGTTTATTTTTGTGTATGGTGTGAGAAAGTGTTCTAGTTTCATTCTTGTGCATGTTGCTGTCCAGTTTTCCCAACACCATTTGTTGAAGACTCTGTCTTGTTTCCATTGGATATTCTGTCCTGCTTTGTCGAAGATTAGTTGACCATAGAGTTGAGGGTCCATTTCTGGGCTCTCTATTCTGTTCCATTGATCTATGTGTCTGTTTTTGTGCCAGTACCGTACTGTCTTGATGACTACAGCTTTGTATATAGCTTGAGGTCCAGAATCATGATGCTTCCAGCTTTGCTTTTCTTTTCCAATATTGCTTTGGCTATTTGGGGTCTTTTGTGGTTCCATACAAATTTTAGGGTTGTTTATTCTAGCTCTGTGAAAAATGCTGGTGGTATTTTGATAGAGATTGCGTTAAATGTATAGATTGCTTTGAGTCATATAGACATTTTAACAATGTTATTCCAAGCCATAAACATGGAATGTTTTTCCATTTCTTTGTGTCCTCTTCAATTTCTTTTGTAAGTGTTTTCAGAGTACAGATCTTTTACCTCTTTGGTTAGGTTTATTCCTAGGTACATTAAGGATTTCAGTACAATTGTAAATGGGATCAATTCCTTGATTTCTTTTTCTGCTGCTTCATTACTAGTATATAGAAATGCAACAGATTTCTGTGCATTGAGTTTATTTCCTGAGACGTTACTGAATTGGTTTATCAGTTCTAGCAGTTTTTTTTGGTAGTCTTTTGGGTTTTCTATATATAGTATTATCTCATCTGCAAATAATGGAAGTTTTAATTCTTTCTTACTGATTTGGATGCATTTTATTTCTTTTTGTTGTCTGACTGCTATGGCAAGGACTTCCAGTTCTATGTTGAATAAAAGTAGTGAGAGTGGACATCCTTGACTTATTTCTGACCTTAGAGGAAAAGCTCTCAGTTTTGCCCCATTGAGGATGATGTGAGCTTTGGGTCTTTCATAGATGGCCTTTATTATGTTGAGATATGTTCCCTCTAGCCTACTTTGTTGAGGGATTTTATCATGAAAGGATATTGTACTTTGTCAAATGATTTTTCTGTATCTATTGGAATGATCATAGGGTTCTTATCCTTTCTGTTATTGATGTGATGCATCATGTTGATTGATTTGCAAATATTGAACCATCCTAGCAACCCAGGAATAAATCTCACTTGTTTGTGGTGAATGATTTTTTTTATTATGTTATGTTAATCACCATACATTACATCATTAATTTTTGATGTAGTGTTCCA